ATTCTGTGTCGACCCGACCCACAACAAGTTTCCCTCTGTGTTGACCCGACGCGGTTGTTTCCCCCCTCCAAGTGCCAGTGGCAGCACCGTCCGTGAGGGGGTAGCACTCCAGAGCTGCGTGTCGGGTGTTTGCACCTCCCACCACACTTCTAGACATGAATGAGGACCCGGGGAAAGATTTGGCGGGATAGTTAGCCCCCGAAGGCCACCGACCACACTCGTGGACATGCGGAGAACAACCCGTAGCGGGGGGATTTGTGCATACTCCTGAATCTTAAAAAAATAAAAATTGCCATGCATCTTATACCACATGTGTCTAGACTGTGTAAAATTTTCATCAGTTTGTCACGCTTCGGGTGTCCAGGAATATTCACACAATACCAGAACCGCGGAGGGATTACTTCGGTGTCATCGCCGCCCATGAGGGGGGACCACACCCCGGAGCCGCATATTGCCTCTTCACACAGGCCACCACACCTTATGACATGCATGAGGACCCGACGCGATGCTCCGGTGCATTGCTACCTGCCTAAGGCCCCCGGCCGGCCTAAACCTAGAACAGTTGACCAGGAGATCTACGCCTTTGGCTTTTGCCGGACTGGCTTTGACCAATGGATCTTTTCACCTAGTTGTGCTAGGTAGGCCCATGGGAACACTTCAGAGCAATGTCTGGGCCCAACCCACAGCAAGATTCCCTCCGTGTCGACCCGATGCGGCCATTTCCCCCCTCTAAGTGCCGGCGATAGCGTCGTCCGTGAGGGGGGTTGCACTCCGGAGCCGCGTGCCGGGTGTTTGCACCTCCCACCACACTTCTAGAGATGAATCAAATGGATGTAGATATAAAACTTATCTCGTTTGTCCAAGTAATGAAAAGTATAGAAAAAGTCAAAATAGAAGGGTGTTTTCTGTAAATTTGAAGTAAACATGATTTTAGCTTGCTCAAATTTGAAAACATAGTATAGCAACAGAATCCTTTCAAAATACTTATTAAAAACCATATGAAATTGGTCAAAATCAATGCTAGTATCAGTACTTGTGATTTTAATAAAGTATAAGGACCTATACGCAAAGGTACATGAGGTTACATTTCTAACATACTCTAAAACAAAATCAATCTAGATATTTGTAATGTATGAAAAATTATACCCCAAATGGATATATAATTTATGTATGTTAAAGTTTACATAGATCAGATTTAAATAAATAAAATTAAAACTTAAAAAATAAATGATTTAAATCTATGGCTACAGCAAAGCCTTTGACAAATTGTGCCACGTGGCGGTTCTTGGTATCTCCTGGCCGACATATATGCCGATGGCTTGGCTGTCCGCATAGAGCTTGGCCAGGAGCTACCAGGAGTGGCCACATGGCAAGTAATCTATGTCGACGGCCGCCGTCAGGGCCGTCAACATACATTTGATAGCGTCAACCCGCGTCTGTTAGTGGGACACCGGGACCATGTGTATGCCGACAGCTCATCTATGTCGACGGGGACCGTCGGCACAGATCGATGTATGCCGACGGCCATTCTATGCCAACGGTGGCCGTAGGCATAGACCTACCTATGCCAACGACGTTTCTATACCGATGGGGACCGCTAGGCCGTCAGCACATCTCCATATGTGCCTACGGCCCCCGTCGGCATAGATGTGGCCGTCGGGACCGAAGCTTATTCTGGTAGTGATGGGATGCGCACGACAAGAACATAGTGGGATCAAGTTTGTGCAAAGATTACAACGAATTGATCGGACAAACCATGACTTAGACGAGACATTGTTAAATCTCATGTAGATGAGATTTACCAAATCCGATTTGAAATTTGTTCAAATATTTTAACATGTTCATGAATTAAAAATCACAAGTTCAAAAAAGGTGTTTGAAAATTAAAAAAATGAACTTTAATAAGTGTTCACACACTTCAAAAAGGTGTTCACATACTAAAATATCATGAATTGAAAAATGAAAAAAATGAAAAATGATAAGGAGAAGAACAACAAAAAAGAAAAAGAAATAAATGGACGCATTCACTCTACTGGGGTAAAAATAAAAGACAAGAAAAGAGGAATGTTATTTTGACAAAATTCCATCACTGGATTCATTCTACTTGAACATTTGTATAGAAGAACAAAAATATAAATAAAAGAAGAACTCTAATTCATACTTTCCCAGCAAAACGAAAATGTTCAGCAACCTAAAAAAATGACCTGCTGTCTAAAAAGACTCCCCCGGCACTCAAAAATACAACATTAGCTTGCATGCAATCTTCAATTGCACTAAGCATGCTAGAGGAAATTTTACTCCACATGTATAGACACATATAATAACAAAAAGAACAAAATCTACGAGTACTATGGACACATACTTGAACAAACAATTCTAATCGCACTAGCTAATCTGCGATGAGACAGAAAAACACACAGGCAACCCGGCCCACAAGAATGCACTTCGCCATTGGGCCTGGCCCAGGAAAGACAACTTAAACACACACAACCGCGAAAGAGTTCTAAAAAAAACACA